AACCAGAGAGGGGGACGCTGGAACATAAACAAGACAATACCCTTTTCTACATGATCACAATTCCACTACTGGGGTTATCTTCGTAAAATGAGCTGTCTGCAGAGCAAACAGGGGTGCGCTAGGGTATCTCGCCCTTGGCGCTATGGACATTTTGGGGGCAGATCATTCTTTCTTGGGTATTTGGGGGGGGGGTTAGCGGCAGCCCTGACCTCTACTCACCAGATGACCGTGGCACTGCCCTGCCCCCAAGTCGTAACAAAAATGTCTCAAGACACTGTCAAATGTCCCCTGGGCAGGGCTGGTGAATTTACCTCCCAGTTGCGAGCCGCTGGTTTTGTCTGAGGCTTTAGCTCAGCAGAACATGAGCCAGCCAATTAGCTAATGGTAACTGTTAGCCAGATTTCTCACATAAGTCCCCATCATCGGCACCGCATTATAAAATCCGAAGTTCCTTTGACCCTGGCGAGACGCACTGGACATCTGTTTGACGGGCAGGCTCCAAACTCGAGCACCTTCTCCCCCCCGATCACCCCACCTCCTGCCAGTCCTTTCCCTTCACCCTGGCCTGATAAGGTAATTCCTTATTCATCTTGACATTCTAATGACATGAAGGCCCTGAAGGAGCTCGAAGGAGCTAGTGATTTAATTGATTCTAAGGAAAGCTGGCATTATTTTCATAGGAATCCAGATATAATACGCAAAATGTTCCGAACGCTATCACTGTGGTCTCTGAGCTTGTAACGCTTTCTCAACTGTGAGCTCTCGGCTCCTGAGCTTGAACCTCACTTCGAGAGAGAGCCCTCCCTGAACAAGTTCCTCTGCGGTGCCCAGCTGCCCCTGCTTACAAACTGTTTGTCCATTTCTGTTCACTTATTACTACCTGAAATTATTTGTTCAGAAATTAACGGACTCCCGCAACCAGAATGGGCGCTCCATGGGCAAGGAACCTTCTGTCCGGTCCATGGCTGTATCTTTAGCATCTCGCACAAGGCCTGGCCCCAGTACTATTAGAATAAGCAAACGGATGAATGAATTTGCATAGGCATAATTTCTAAAGTATTAATTTCATTCTACCCACTTCTCACTTTCTTCCTAAGCTTCGCTCACCATCCTCATGGTCCCAGCATCATCTTTAATGAAAGTGAATATAGTTAACTCCCTCCTCTTATACTCCCCGTTAGTTGATCAAAGACATTCAAGTACCTGGTGGATTGGTGAACACCAAGTAATCAGGAGTTTTCCTCCTGATGCCGTTGATCTTCAGGTCCTGGGAGAAATCTCCATGTAAACGAAGGCTTGCTCCCTTCTAAGCACAGCCAACTTTACAAATACCCAGATTGACAAATCTTTGCTCTAACTAAGAGTTCCTTCATTACAACTCCCAGGGCATCTATTTGAGTAGAGGCTATTAACTAATTGACAGTGAAGCTGTTCGGTGCGGGGCGGGGCAGGGTGTGTGTGTGCAGAATGGAAAGATAAGGCAGGCAGAGAGGCTAAAATTAAATGACAAGAGGCCTTGCCAAATTGGAGTAGATTCAGAAATGATAAGCCATCTTGGGGATCAATGAGAAAGAGAGAATCAAATAATGAGCATTTAAATTTATCAAAACACTATTGATGTGCAAGGAGAGGTTTCATCTTTGTTTTAAAATAAATTTTCTACGGGCTCCACTGCCTAAACCATTTTATCTACAAGCCTCGTGGCAACCTATCTGTCAAAGAATTACTCACTGTGCAAAACATTGTATCTATTTATCTACGTATCTGCTCACCTATCATCCATCTGCCTCTCCACCCATTTATCTAAGTACATCTGGGGATATTTGTGCAAAGCATCCATCTATCTATCTAGACCTGGGGTTGGATACATCAAGCCCCTCCCTTCCAGCTTTGCCTGAGCTATTTAAAATCTACTAGTCAAGGCAACTTTTTTTTCTGGAAAAATAAGAGGTTGAGAAGATAGATTCTGGGATCTTCTGACCCTGAGTTTGACACTCACCAAAGCTCTGAGCTTCCAGGGTGACCCTGGGCAAGTTACTTAACCTCTGTGACCCTTAGGTTCCTCATCTGGAAAATGGGTACCATGAGAACACCTACGGAATGAGGGCATCTGGGATTCAATGGGAGGAGCCAATTCTTGGCAAACGGAAACGTCAGTGCCAGGGAGGGGACCATGGGAATGCTGCCAACCACATTCCAACTCCTTTCACACTTGCTTTTTCATCTCTCGGTCCCCTGGTTCCTGGGTAACCACCGTCAGGGCTTCCTTGGTACACCCCAGGGGCAGCCCGTTGAGGAAGGCTGACACCAGGGATTTAAACCTTCCTAGGCTTCCTCCTTCTATTAATCTGGCCATTAAGCAGAGCGGGTTCTGCTGACGCCAACACACGCAGAGGTCTGCGATGCTCCAGCCAACGAGCAGCAGAGGAGTCCTTAGCAGCCCAGCCGTCTATCTCCCTGACCTCCGAACGGCTGCACGAGAACAGATTTGCCAAGGACTGGGTGAGGACCCCACGCATGCGCAGAGGGAAGGGGCCCTGTGAGGGCTGAGCCACAGACACGTGATGTACAGCCACAGCTCACAGTGAACTCTGGAAGACAGGCCTCCCCGTGGCACCTGTGCTCCAGGATGGAGCAGCTAATGCCTCTCTTAGGAGCGAAGGGGGCTGGGGGGGTGGGGGGAGAGAGAAGTGGGAGCTGACCCAGGCCTCACACATCTGCTGCCGGCCTCTGCACGGTTGGGTCTGCCAAGCTCGGCCACATCTGCTGTCTTGCCCCTGCCATATGGGTAATATCTGGGGCACCACTTTCTGCCAGAAAACTCATCCATGCCCCTCTTGTCTGATCCGCCTGTGGGCAGCTGAATGGGGTCCCATCGTGAGTCCCAGGATGGACGGAGGCCCAGCACAGAGTAAGATCTGGCCACGGGCTTGTGCCAACAGTTACAGAAAAACATTAGTACTTTGGATGGGTTCCAGAGCCTCTTTCACACAGGAAGTCAGAACTCGGGAAAGACAACAACAGCCTACAGCTCCCCGAAGACCAAGGACCAGATGAGGCTGACGGAACGGTGTGGACACAAAGTGAGTCATCTCCCCGATGGCACGGCACCAACGCAGAAGGCCCGTCTCGTGCCACGGCTGGCCGTGCATGGAGGGTCAACGCCCTCGGGCTAACGGGTGTGACTCCAAGAGGGGTCCCTGTGTGGGGGTGAGCTGTCCCCCTCACAGCATGCTAGCCAAAGCCAACAGCATGTGACTGTTCTTTCCTGGGGAGGTTTTGAAGGGCTGACTGGATGTTCTTCATAGTGAAGGAACCAGAGGGCCAAGAACAGAACTACCTGGGGTGTAGCCGCCCCACCCTGGGAGAGAAGATTTGGCTTCCAGAATTCTGGACACGGACCATGTGCCCAGGGGCTCTCCTGCATCTACTGAGTTGTCCTCTGGGGAAGGAGGGATGCTGAAGAGGAGAAGGGCCATCCTTTGAAAGCATAGCTGGGAAGTTCTCTGGCAATCCACTGAGGAGACTGGGGAGGGCCCTGTTTTCCAAAGAGGGGCAGACACAGCCCTGAGAGTGCATGCAAATGATTTGGGGGGGCACTCAAAAGGAACTTTTACATGTTACTAGTTTCATCTTTATTTTAATGTTGTGCCAAACAAACAAACAAAAAATTGAACTAGCATGTGATTTCACACTTGTGGCTTCACCAGTATCATTCCTTGTGATAGTGTTTCTCATCCTCGACACTGGTGACATTTTAGGCCAGACCATTCTCCGCTGTGCGGGGGCTGGCCTGTGCAATGTACAACAGTTAGCCCCATCCCTGGCGTCCACCCACCAGATGCCTGGAGTAAGCGCCCCACCCCAAGGTGAGAGAACCAAAAATGTCTTCAGCTACTGCCAAATGTCCTCCAGAGATCCAAGATAGCCTTGACTGGGAACCACGAGCTTAGGATGAGCCCACTTATGATAGTTAAGTAAGTTGATTTAAAGAAAATCTATTTTTAGGTGACTTGGAACAAGTGTGATTCCCTTAAGGTTAACATGGCTAAGGGGGTAGGTGAGCGGCAGGAGTTTGGATAGAAGCAGACCAGAGGATGGCCAAACAGGGGGAGGGACCTGGGTCCTCATGCCCCGTCAAAGCCACGCCCACTGTTCTTTCCTGCCCGCTCTCTTGTCTGGTCATCCCTGAGGCCGACGTAACGAAACGTGCATGCAGGGGAAAATGAGAAGGTGGAAGACTCCCCTTTCCCCACCATGTGTGGCCTTCCTGAGCAAGGATGGAGAAGCACGGTGGGTTTGCTCATTCCCCTTGGGTAGACTGAGGCAGAGACACGGTGAAAGGACAAGAACCCATGGAGGAGGCTGGAGAGTAAGATAGCAGGTGGTCCTTGCTCCAGAACTCCAGAAACAGCCACAGAGCTGCCCTTCCACCTTGAAGTGTTCACACAGGCTTGCCTATCCCGGACACTCAAATGCTGTTAGCTTAGGGGTTCTGGATGGGCTCTGGATGGGCTCCATCCTGTCTCCTCTCTTTACTGTGTGACCAATGCTGAGAGCCCAGGAAATGATCAATCCAAAGATACCTCCCCTTCAAGCCCAGCCGGACAGGTAACTGTCTGTTGGGTTCAAAAGCTATACCTCAGCAGCACTTACGACTTTACAGATACCAGTTTCTGCTGTTCTCACCACAACCCTCCGAGGAGGGCACTACCCTCATGGTAATATTCCAGATGGGAAGAGGGAGGCTGAGAGGCTAGGTCGCCTTTCAGGGCCAGAAGATGGGTACACAGATGCCCAGGTACACACGTGCGTGCACACACACACACAATCAGCTCGTGTGTGTACCCACCTGTGTATGTGGGCATACATTCCAGCGGCAGGGGGATGGCTGAATGTGCCCATCCAGTCTCTCTGAGTCAAGGAGCCAAGAGGGTGTACCAAGCCTCCTGGAGAGCTGGTGCAGAGATAAGTGACAAAGGCCATGGGAAGGTACTGACCTGGGTCTCCAGGGTGATCAGGGGACTTGGATGAGGGTCCTGTAGGAAGAGAGAGAAAACACACGTAAGTGATGGGGAAAATGGAACCTACCAACCCAGCGAGATCTCTTCCGTGTTTTACTGTCTCCCCCATTCCATGACTCATGAGAAGAGCTTGGCCCATCCCCAGTCTCTCCTCAACTTCCTCCCACACCCCGATGATTAAGGAGGCTCAAGTTTTTCATGCAAAATGATCAAGTGTAAGGAAATAGGAAAGAAAACACACTCATCGATTATCTCCAAGTGTGTTAAAATCCTCTATACAAAGGAGAGGATGGATGCGTAAGAGGATGAGAAATAAACCTGAAAGAATATCGAGTCCCGATTAGGGGCAAGGCCACCAATTTGTGTCTGGTCTTGGAAAAAATGAGGGAAGAAAAATAGAGACAGAAAAAGAAGAGCTTAATTCCTAGTTTTCTAGCACATTCCAATGGGCTGGGGAAGAGCCTTTTTAGGATAGAGAAGGCCAGAGAAAATTCCTATTCATTCACTCTCTACAAAAGCCAATTGACTGGAAATGCTTGGTGGTAATGTCGCAGGTCATTAAACATGAACTCTTTAGGTGGGGGGGGCAGGGTGGGCAGAGAGGAGGGAGGGACGGGTGGGGAGGAGGTAGTGGTTTTCAGCAAGTGGTTTCCAAGGAAAACAGGAAACCCAGCACATAAAGGCTATTTTTGTCGGCACTCTGTCAGCTCTGAACTTAACCTTAGATTCACGATTCTGGGAAAGCAACCTCAAGCTGCCTGTTCCAGAGAATGGGCACAATTTTAGGGCCCTGAGGTGCAAGCTCAGTTTGGAAGCTTTGCTTTGTGCAAGCCAATTTCCCAACACGGGCTTCTAGGAAGCCACGCAAGTGGGCACCCCCTGGCCTACACGGTGAATAAGGAGGAAGTGCAGGAATCACGCTGTATTTGTCCTTCTGTGGTCTGACTTAGTTCACTCAGCATAATGTCCTCAAGGTTCATCCACGTTGTCACAGATGGCAGGATTCCCTTCTTTTTTAAGGCTGAGTAACATTCCACTAATACCTATACCACATCTTCTTGATCCACTCATCCATCAACGGACATGTAGGTTGTTTCCGTATCTTGGCCGTTGTATGGCTTCAGTGAACGTGGGAGGGCAAATGTCATGATTCCACTTACATGAAGAATCTAAAATCGTCAAATTCATGGAATCAGAGGGTGGAAGGGTGACTGTCGGGGGCTGGGGGAGAGGGAATGGGGCTTTGCTACTCAACAGGTGCAAAGTTTCAGGCACGCAGGATGAATCAACTCTAGAGTTCAGGCATATGACGCTGTAGCTATAGTTGACAACACTGTATGGTACACACAAAATTTTGTTAAGAGGGTAGATCTCATGTTAAGTGTTCTTACCACATTAAAAAAAAAAAAAGGAAGTTAGCAAAATTGGAACATTTTAAACCCCTACCCTAGGTGAACAGTCAACTCACTTTCTTGATGACTCCTCTGTGGTATCTTTATAATGATGCCGAAGTCATTCTGAGCTCAAGATGAGGGGTTCCTCTCCCCCGATTCCAGTTCTGAATCTAGTTCCTAGCAGTTCTCCAATGGTACAGCTCAAAGCTTACTCCCAGGAGAACATCTAATTCTAATTTTCACACTCAGGCATGGAATATTCCTCACACCCAGGAAGATATGGAGGGGAACCCTCCTCCCCCTCTCTGGACATTGCAGCCTTGGCCCATAAAGGAACTTGGAGAGGTCTTGAAAATATTTTAGGCTTCTCTCTTCAAACCCTCACTAGCTCCTTCCCAAGGGTGAAGAAGTGAGAGCCATATGGGTGAGAACCTTCGCTGCGCCATTCGAGTGAGCTGGCTCATTGTTTTAGCCATTCTTCATGGAGCCCACTCTAGCCAGCCTCTTCATCCTCACATGCAGGGAGGGAGTCAATCAATCTTGTTCTTCCAGTTTCCCTGGGACAAGCAAGCATACTGGATGGGGCCCACTTTTGTCTTTGGGAGGCAAGGCTGTCCTCCTGGTCTGTGAGGTCTTCAGCTCCGAGTCAGTCTGTGTGTCTGTCTCTCTGGCCGTTCACATTCATCTAGATTCAGCCAGAAGATAAGAAGTTTCCTCTCGCACTCAAACATTAGCCTCATTCTCAAAGCCAGGTCCTAGTGGAGCACTAAACTGGGGTGTTGGGTGCACGCCCAGATTAATTAAGCTGTAGTTCACAGCCCGTTTGGCTATGGCTTAGGGTTTATGCTTCACTGCTCAGAATCCTGAAGGGGTAGAGAGGGGAGACTGCCATCCTGAACCCCTAAGAACAACTTCAAGGAAAAGACCATGTTTGGGAAACCACAGAAAACTCTGTCAACTACGTTGACAAAACCCAGAGCCTGATCCCTAGATATGATAAAGCACCAACCCTTTATCTGGTATTCCAAGATCAGAAACCCTACTGGAACATGGTCAGGGGTCCAATCTTATCTATTTAGCACATTAATGACCTAGCCAGGAAGAAGACAGAGTACTCCAAGTGGCCATGTCGTTAACACTCGGGGCTCACTTGCCAACAAAATGTTGCTCCCCTCCCTCTGTGCACATTCAAAATATAAGACTCTCCCTACAGAGGCTCCATCCAGAAGATTCCAGGTATGACTATATATCTGTGAGGTCTCACTTTCAGCAACACCCTCCTTAATTGGAAAGGTTAACGAAGTGGAACCGGGTCAATGATGCTGTCTGCCTAATCCATCGTGTCTGTCTAAACTGGGGCTCTTTGGTTTACAGTAGAGTAAATTCCTGTCTGTCAGGGGAAAGGCTCCTGGAGACCAAAGGGGAATTTGCAACATGCTCCGATGCTACAGTGGAGTGCTTTTGGAATCTTAATGCAGGTACCGGGAGCTACGAACTGCCTTAAGCAAGGAAAGCTCTTTCATATCATCTATTGCGATGACTCAATTGGGGAAGTCAAATAGGGAACTAGGTAGACTGATTTAATGGCCTGCATTCTTCACCACTCCCTATAGTCACACCCTTTGGTCACATGACTTTGCATTTCTTTGCAGAGTGTTCTTCCCCATCCCTTGACCTTGGGCTTGCCCATTTGATTTGCTTTGTCCAAGGGGAGCTTAGCAAATAGGACATAAGCAGAAGCTTAAAATATTGCTTGCGGGATTGAGTGGGAGCTCTTGCCCTTTTGCCATCACCGCAAGAAGAACACGCTCCAGGTACCCTGCTGGTCCAAGGAGGAGGAGACACACGTGGAACAGAACTATACCCAACCTGCAGCTTGAAGCCCAGCCCAGCCCAGCCTTGATCAGCCAGCCTTCAGACACATACAAGATATACGCTTGTTGTTTCAAGCCATTGAGTTTCAGGGTGATTTATTATACAGCCATCACTGTGGTCATAACTAACTGATACACTTTCTAAAGCTGGACCTTTGATAGAACCCCAACATGATGTACAAACCCTCCAGCCTTGGAAACATAAGGATACATACTCTCCCTTGGTCTTCCAATAAACCCCCAGAACCTGAAATAATTACAACGCGTAACTATGTTCTAGGACCTACTATGTGCCATACTCCATGTGAGCTGTACATTATGCCGACCGAGCAAGGAAAAAACTCAACCACTAAGATCTTACACTATATATGAGTTAGCTTTCACCCCTCTTCACCCAATGTACCGGTCCTTCTGAATTTATTTAAATGCCATCACAGCAACGTTAACAGAAATGATTGCTCAGAGTCCTCTTGCCCGGAGATAAAGACAGTTTTCATTCCTCTGTTTCATTCTCGACTTTATCCCATGGGCATATTACTTGACAAAGGTTTGGAACAGTCATGAATACTAGTAATACTGAGTAACTTACTATGTTACTAATTAAGTGATGGCTAATAACTTAAGTTCTTACCATGTTCCAGGCACAGGCTTCACCTCTACACATGTAGAATTCCTCTGACCCCTTGTAACAACCCTGTGAGGTAGATACTACCATTATTCTCTTTACAGAAACGGGGAAACTGAGGACCAGAGAGATTGAGTAACCTGCCCAAGGTTGCACAGACAGTGCTGAAACCTGGATCGGACCCCAGTGCCCTGCACTTGAGATGCCTGTGCTCCGCTACTTTACAGTAGCCCTACTGGAGAACACAAGTCCACCCCAGACAAAGTAACCCTGCAGCCCGGACAGTGTCTACTACAAGGAAGAACACTCATGGCAAATCAGCAGCAGCACCTTAACCACGAGAATCCTTTTTTAAAAAGGTAGTGGACATGGTTGGTAGAAATTACCACACAGGCCCCGACTAAAAACAAAACACAGCCACCTCACCACAGCAGGGAACCAAATCCATCCACACCTATTAATGAGTTCCGATTCAGTCGCTAGCACTATGCCTGGTGGGCACCAGGAGGGGGCCAGAAAGGACTTTAAAGTGACTCTGTGCATGCTCCTATTCCCAAAGCTAACTGTTTAAATAAAAGGCAGGAGTCTGATTATAGATTCCGGAGAAATAAAACTTGTTGGCACCTCATGAGTCTTGCTCGTAAGACCAGGAAGCCAGGCTCAAATACTTTTGAGCCCATCGAGGCCAAAAGCCTGATTTTAACAATCAATGAAGCTTTCATAAAGAAAAGAGAGAGAGGACAAGGAATTTCATTATTGTTCCATGCATGAATCAAACATTTCTGGTTCCCCTGGTCGGTGCTGAGCCCTAAGCCTGGCCTCAGCCATTGAAAGGGGTGTTCTCTTCCTGAGCTTTGAAGATCTCATATGATAGTGTTTGCTCTTGGGTGGTAAGCAATGGCTTTGATGGGGATAGGACAGTCCTGTGACTCAAGTCTTCAGAGCCAGACTTCCCCATTCGGCCCATCAAGTCAGCAGACAGACAACAGGCCCGACGGTCAACCCCTGCATGGATGCACTTCGGAAGGCTGGCGTGGCCCCCTGTCCTGGAAAAACCTCTGATGGGGTCTACAGAAGTAGAAGCTTCCACCATCAGGAGATTGTGCCTTACTCCTGGTCACC